TCCTGGGTTCTCCTGTTACAAGCTCAGGTATGTTCCCTTGGGCCGGCTCCCATCCCCCGATGCAGACCATCCTAGTCACACTCCCCTGTCAGCATTCACACACCCCAGCAAGAACAGTCCCAGTTCGTCACAGGGGGGAGGAGGAGCATGGGAGGGGTAGCTGTGGGCGGGAGGGACGGGATTGTTTGGGGGCAGGGACAGTTGTGGGGGGATGAGGAGGGGTAGCTGTGAGGTGAATGGCAGACGTCCCAGGGGGGTGAGAAGGGGGGCTGGGAAGGGGGACTCCCCCAGGTGGGGTACTAGAGCGTCACCAGCACCCTCTTTCTCATTGCTTTCAAATTCCTTCTCCTCCCAGATGGCCCTGATCTTCCTCTTCGGCTGCTGCGTCTTCCCCCTCTTCTTCTTCGCCCTCCACTGGGCACTGCACCGCACCCGGGCCCTGGGTATGGACCAGCTGCGTGCCATCTACGTCGCTGCCAAGTAAAGCTGCCCGGACTCCTGGGTTCTCTCCGTGGGGCTGGGAGGAGAGGGGGGTCTGGTGGTTAGAGCAGGATGGGGCCTGGGAGCCAGGACTCCTGGGTTCTCTCCCTGGCTCATGCAGGAGAGGGGGGTCTCCCTCAGCCACAAGATGGGGCTGGTGGTTCAGAAGTCTCCGCTATACCCCAGAGGTGACTCCAGGGTCACTGGCTCAGCAGGTACCACCTGGAGCCTCCAGCTTAGCACACGGGGAGGGGGGACCCTCTGCCATCTGGGGGGGATTAGCCCTGAGCTGATTGCCCTGGTGCCCCAGGGAGAGGAAGGGGTTAAATACTAACCCCTTCAAGCTGGGCCTTGACCTTGATCCCCACCTGCCTCTGCCTGTGCCAGCAGGATTATGGGATTAGACCAAAGTGTGTGTGTGTGTGTGTGCGCGTGCGCGCGCGCGTTCCCCTTCTCTGGCCCCCGACACCCCTGCCCCAGCCTGGCTATGACCGGGGGCCTGAGACCCCCCACACCCCCATTTTAATCCTGGTTTCCATTCAGTCCATTGCAAGGCACATTAAAGCAGCCTGGTTGCAGCTGGACCAAGATAGTACTTAGTGAAAGGACCAGTTCCTAGCTGGTGTAAATCAGTGTCACGCCATGGGCCTTTACACCAGGATTCTGGAAAATCTAGAACACGAGCCCCTGTCCTATCCCTGCCCTCAGCTCCCCCACCCCACATCTCAGCCAGTGCCCCCCAATCCTGACCCACAGCCCCCTGCTGTCCAAGCCCTGGACTCCCTCCCCCCCAGCTCTGCTGATGCCCCTCACATCCGCTGCCTGCTGGCTGCACTCCCACTCCCTTTCCAGTCTCCATTTTCCATTCGCATCCATCCTTTGCACCCCTTTTCCCATTCCCAATGCCCATCTGACCGACCACTGTGACCCCCTTCCTCCTGCCCTCCATCCCACCTCCAGCACAGGACTCTCCGCTGCTGTCCCTTTAAGTCCCTCCACCCAGTGCCTGACAGCTGCTCCCCCCTCCCCTTCCATCCCCTTCTCTCCCTCCCCTCTCCCCCCCCTTTCTCTCTGTCACAGCCGGCCTCAGAGCCACTGCCTGGATCCAAGCAGCCGCTGCCTGCCCCCCATCACCCCCACTACCATGTGCAGCCCCCAGGCCTGTCCTCCATCCAGCTTCAGCAAGGTCGGATCCCAGCCCCACTGATCCCCCCCAATCCCAAGCCCCCACCCTGGTCTGTGTGAGTCCCCCCCTTCCGCACCCCACCAGAGATGTTTCACGCCTTGGTGGCTGGGAGCATCGTCTTCCCAGGGCTCTTCCTGCTGGCCAAGAATAGCCTCAAGCGGCTGCCCTGGCTGCAGTGGGATGAGGCCGACGCTGTCATCATCTCAGCCAGGTACCCCAGGGTGCAGTGAAGGAGTCAGGGAACGGAGGAGGGATGCAGGATGGAGGGAAGCAGTCAGGGAATGGAGGAGGGATGCAGGGAAGCAGTCAGGGACCGGAGGAGGGATGCAGGATGGAGGGAAGCAGTCAGGGACCGGAGGAGGGATGCAGGGATGGAGGAATGAGACAGGGACTGGAGGAGCAATGCAGGATGGAGGAATGAGACAGGGACTGGAGGAGCGATGCAGGGTGGAGGGAAGCAGTCAGGGAACGGAGGAGGGATGCAGGGATGGAGGAATGAGACAGGGACCAGAGGAGGGATGCAGGATGGAGGGAAGCAGTCACGGATTGGAGGAGGGATGCAGGGAAGGAGTCAGGGATGGAGGAAGGAGACAGGGATAGAAGAATGATAAAGGGAAAGAGACACTAGCATAGAAGGGATGGAGGAAAGGAAGCAGTGGAGGGAAGGAGGCAGTGCAGCAGAGGGATAGAAGCAGTGGAGGGATAGAGGGAAGGAGGCAGTGGCGGGAAGGAGGCAGTGGCAGTGGAGGGATGGGGGAAGGACGCAGTGGCAGCAGAGGGGTACAGGAATGGAAGCAGTGGAGGGATGGAGGTAAGGAGACAATGGCAGCGGAGGGATGGAGGCAGCGGAGGGATGGAGGCAGCGGAGGGATGGAGGCAGCGGAGGGATGGAAGGAAGGAGGCAGTGGCAGCGGAGGGAAGGAGGCAGTGGCAGCGGAGGGATGGGGGAAGGAGGCAGTGGCAGCAG